TAATAGCAGTAATCAGCTGATGATTTATAAAGTAAGTACTATACACTAGTAACCAGCTGGTGATTTTTCAACTCATTTCTTAAATAACGTTAGAACATTAAATTTTGCTTATAACAGACTTGTGATAAAGGTATCTATTGTGATAAAATTGGGTTTTGCACATTGCATAGAAAAGCACAAACCGTCCACATTTGATTTAAACTGGAAATAAGGATAAAGGGACATATCTATCCCAAATGTGAAAATTTTTTATCTTATTTCAACATGAATCCCACCTCTCAACATGAATGCGGAGGCTGGCAATTTCTTGTGTTTTCACCACTTGCTCTGGTGTCATCTGTTCATCTCCTCCTAGGAATGGTGGGATGTTTAGGGATACACCAAGAGGGAGGATGTCATCTACCGTGAACCCCTTGTCTGCCATCACACTATCTTTGTCAGTAAAGGGAAGGTCTAAGAATCCTGATCTTTCAACTATGGCTCTATCAGAGATACTGCCAGTGTACAGCTGGCTAATATAGGTAATGGATCCAGAGGGTGATATACCAACCAGTCCTTTAAGTGTGGTGTTGTTCTTATATGAGCTAAATAATTGGCTATTTTTAAAGTAGTTTACTGTTAAAACAGTAAACTACTTGGCATCTGACACTTTATTTCGGTGCAGTCGATGATAACTCTAGTGTTAGGATATTTATCCTTAAAGTCCTCGGGCATTGATKCATCGACATCWTCTCTAGAGGGCCAAATGTTTATARCACCAAAACGCAGATACATGAAATTAATCCAGGAAATGAATATGCGACTTACGGTAGTTTCTGAAATGCCAAAAAGGAATCCTAGATGCTTTACTGGCATTCCTTGGTGCAGTCGACACAACGCCAAAAGAAATTCTTCTTGTTGTGTGAGACTTCTTGGACGACCACGCTTGTTGCGCAGAACCGCGTTCTCAGGGTTACCAACACCTTGATCTTTTGACGACCAATATCGGATATTTTCGCCATTCTCTCCTGAGTTTAAGTACTTAAATGTAGCTTGAAATGTTTGTATATTAGGGAATCCCGTATAGAAACAGATTGATTGATCATCGGATATATTTTCGAGACAAAACACGCRTGGCTTCAGCTTAGCATATTTGTCATTGAGTTCGGCGTRTTGTTGTAGTAAACGCTTGACTTCACCTAAAGTATCGTCTCTTTCCTTACACAAAGYGGCTATTTGCTTCTTTTGTTCTTCAAGTTGTAGCTTTAATTGGGCAATTTCTTCATTATAAGACTCTGTTGTTTTGTGCGTTTCAAGTGGCGGAACGTCMTCAAGACCACTAGAAGGTGTTTCTTCGATATCGCTACTAGTGACATAGGTCGAGTCGACGTCCAAGTTCTTTCTCGCGCGTTTATTCAGAATAGGATCCATCTTCGCAGAAGGAGCCGGTCGCTTTCTTGGTGAAGTTCTCCAGTTAAATTTCGTGGGAAAGACTTCATTGCGCCTTATTAAAGACATTTTTCCACCATAACCTTTCTTGATCTCGCTTTTTTCGAAGTGCAAAGAACATACTTTTGTGTTGTCATTAAGGTTAAAATGTTTGCCAGGATCTCTTCTGATTTTAGCCAACCAAACTTTCTTTAATGATGGATCTTTTGGAAAGCTTTTTCTCCATTTGGGCCAGTAGTTCCCTTTTGGTTACAAAGAGGAACGCAACAATGTATGTTGGATCGCGAAGCCATGTTTACGCTCTCTGCGCGGTATCCTAAAATGCCTCGTTCTCGTGCTCGCCCCATTTTCCCTCCATTTTTATTGACATCAGTGTATATAAGATACAAATGTTCCTTTATTTTATTGTTTTTTGTCATACCTTTCTCCAAACAGCTTTGCTCCAATGAAATGAACAACTGGATAGCTTGACTGTTGGTAAAACCCTGGAAAGGGCTTTGCAGGCAGACTTCTCAAAATCAAGAACTATACGCTTGACTCTTGGTACCGTGGGCAACATATTGATGATTTCCTCGAGTACCTACTTTTGTTATTTGCATTATGATTTGAAAGTAGTTTAACAATATGTATGCAATTCTTAAATGAACGTCCAATGCTTATTATCATAATGAAAATTATACCACGTTAACCTTATGGTAATCACAGGCCTTTCGTATGTATACCATAGGAACCTGTTTACTGCAGTCGTTCTTGCAACCAAAGGCATTGATAGAATATAGTTGTGTAAATGGTTGTCGACAAAGCTTAAAAGTACCGTTTATATACCTGAAGATAGAGATAGTATTGAATTTAGAAACAACACAATTACTGTCATCAATTATCGAAGTTATTATTATACCTACCAATACTTTGCTTTTGCAAGTAGTTTAAGTTGCTCTGCCGTTGCGAAAATTGACGATGGTCTTGAACGTGTAAATCACGAAGAAAGTCATCTGGTAGGAACTGACGGTCTTCTGTCAGTTCGAAGTCGAGGTCCCGTAGTTCTTCCGGCTCATTACGACTTCACTACGGACAAAGTGTGTAATTCATTAAAAATTCAGTTTTTGATCACGTGATTTTACGCGCATGCGCAGAAGGACTCAGACCGCTCTTGTATCTTAGCAACGGCAACGTGCAACAAAATTAAACACAGCTGACAAATCGATATGTCTAGGTATTGCACTACACACTGAACATAAAAAAAACTCCTTCATGTCTGTAGCAGTTAAGATGAATATCCCAACCAAGTTGTCTCGTGTTTCCACAGTATTCCATCTGTGGACATRATAAACAATTGATTAAGTACTGCTAACATTAATATCTCAAATCAAACATGAATGGAAGCCATATTGATTGTTGTTTTGTCAAGTTGTTTGAAGATTTTCGTTTCAAAAAGTAAGATCATCAAAGCCAGCATTTAAAATTAAAAGAAAATGCTACACAGTGATATAAGTTTTAAAGGATTTAGCCGTATTAGAGATCTAGCATAGTAATTTCGCTTCAACTTAAACCGAAGAAGATCAACAAGACGCAATCGCGAAGGACATGGACGCCATATTATTGATTGTTGTTTTGTCAAGTTGTTTGAAGTTTTTCGTTTCAAAAAGTAAGATCATCAAAGCCAGCATTTAAAATTGAAAGAAAATGCTACACAGTGATATAAGTTTTAAAGGATTTAGTCGTATTAGAGATCTAGCATAGTAATTTCGCTTCAACTTAAATCAAAGAAGACCAACAAGACGCGATCGCGAAGGACCAGTGAAAGATTCGATAAAAATGAAATAAGTACAATAAATACAGAAATCATATAAGAAAAATGACAACTTACCTTAATCTGGCTTCATTTGTCAATGGTAGTATCTTCAAAAAATGTCTTTTRCTGTCTTTTTGATTTCACGTACGACTATCGAAGCKTGTTTTGGATCCGTACGTCTGCATATTGTTGCTTAGTAACGRCGCTAATTTATGCGATACCCCACTTGAGTGGGGTAAGTCAGAGTTACACACTTTGTCCGTGTCGATGTCGTCATGGTAGGCGTTGACGGTACATATTAGTATTCCGCACAAGGTAGTGGACTTTGGGCAGGGCACTGCATGGACAATTTTTTTCCAACGTTTCCAATAGGACATTTTCAACGAGAGCTGTGTCTGGTTTGAAGAAATCTGTTATGGCCTCTTCTTTTATCTTCTTAACAACTTTACATGCAATTGATGTTCCAGATTCAGGCTCGTGGTTATGGGTAATAGGACCAATCGAAAAACTCACATTGGTGTCTTTGACTGTAGCACGACATGGGTTTACCTATAAAAATTTAATTAGAGTAGATTGATATACCTTTCATATCTTTCTTTAAGGCATTTTATTTTCTGTGCGAAATGACTATCCATCGATATAAGAATTGTGCGAACTGCTTGAAACTTGTGAAAACTTGCGAAACAACTTGTGCGAACGGTCTTTTGTGTGAAATAATCTGATATCTGCACAAGTCGTTTTGCCCATGTTTCGGACCATTCTCACAGACATTTAGCATAGGAAATGCTAAATGAGCAGAATAGTTTTATTGCTGTGATTCTTACTATACTCAGAATGAATTTCGCATTACCAGCTTGAAATAACAGTGTTTCTGAATTTGTATACACAATTTGTATACACAACCAAACATGAACCAACAAGGGGCCATTTCATTGTCCATGCATGACACGCTTGATCAAACTCAATAGACAATCAACTGAACGACTGGACAATCATTTGGGTGGAACGCTGTTTCATGTACGCGCAATGAAAATTCAATAGCACCAATTGACAAACGGTTGCATTTATTGACAATCATTCAACCAAAAATGAAACTTCATTAGTGTTATTAGCATAAACATAGGCAATCTATAGCGCGTTTGGACAATCGTAGTCATTCGGGAATACATTCTTTAGTGCGTTTTGACAATCATTTGAGCGATTCAAAATACAATAGCACAAAAGAAAAAATCAATACTACTTTTGTATTTTTGTATGTTYATGGATCAAAAATAGCTAAAACAAAAAAGATTGCTCAAGATTCTGCATGAAATTGCAGTATAAAAGCAGGTTTTCAGTTCAATTTCTCTGTTGTTCCAGAAACAGCCAAAATGCCTCGTAGAAATCGCATCATCCTGGAGCAACGCGAAAGGATTATTCAAGCTTTTGAAAACAGAAATGAAGATTATTTCATGGTGGCCGATACAATCGGTGTAAATCGATCAACAGCCAGGAGTATCGTTGCCAGATTTGTACGGGAAGGTAGAATTGCAGAGAGACCAAGGGGAGGACGAAAWAATGTCCGGGTCGATAACCAGATGAGGGACACTCTCAATGACATTGTAAATGAGAATTGTCAACTAACTCTGGCCCAGATAAACCAAGAATTACGGCAACGTCTTCCCGCCAAACCACAAATCCACGACCGTACTGTGGCAAGGACCTTAGACGGAATGCTTTTTCGTGTGAAACTAAGCAGACCACTCCCAGCAGAAAGAAACAGACCGGATGTCATCGAGAAACGATATGCTTATGCCAATTGGTTTATGGGCCATGCCATAGTAAATCATTCTGTTTTTATAGATGAATGCGGATATAACATTTGGACTTCTCGAAGCCAAGGCAGAGCGAGAAGAGGAGAAAGGGCCTACAGGCAAGTCTGCGGTCAAAGAGGAAGAAACGTGACGGTTGCACTCGCTATTTCACCGACTAATGGCCTTGTCTTCCACTCTTCAATCATTGGAGGAATGAATGCGCAGAAATTTAACGGCTTCCTGGCACAGACGCGTTTAAATCTTGACCCAGATGAAAACGTCATTTTCATTTACGATGGTGCCCCAGCCCATCACAATCCAGTCAATCCAGGTGCAAACACTGAGATGAGAAAACTGCCGCCTTACAGTCCATTTCTAAACATCGTGGAACAAGCAATAAGCTCCTTGAAAGCAGCGGTAAAAGCAGATATAAGTCGTCCCGCAATACAACAAGAAATGAATAATCGAGATGAAGCAAGAAACCAAGGCCTTGCTTTGGGCCATTACYGCACRCAGCTGCTTTTGGAAGCTTTGAATCGAAATATTGGAACAATCACTCCAGCTAAAAGTGGGCAATGGTTCCGTTTTATGCAAACATATCTACCCCGTTGTATTAACAGAGAGTTTATCGAAGGCTGAAATTTAAATAGAAATGACAAGTAGTATTGATTTTTTTCTTTTTTGTTTTAGCTACTTTTTTGTTTTAGCTATTTTTTGACCCATGAACATACAAAAATACAAAAGTAGTATTGATGTTTTCTTTTGTGTTATTGTATTTTGAATCGCTCAAATGATTGTCAAAACGCACTAAAGAATTTAATCTCGAATGGCTATGATTGTCCAAACGCGCTATAGATTGCCTATGTTTATGCTAATAACACTAATGAAGTTTCATTTTTGGTTGAATGATTGTCAATAAATGCAACCGTTTGTCAATTGGTGCTATTGAATTTTCATTGCGCGCACATGAAACAACGTTCCACCCAAATGATTGTCCAGTYGTTCAGTTGATTGTCTATTGATATTGTTGAATGCTCGTGCGTATTTAAATATCGCTATTGAAAGTCGTTTCGCGCCAATGATGTTGCTTRCGKTGTTCAAGAAAGTACAATACAAGTTATTGAAGCATCGCTTGGCACAAATGAATGTACGTTTTACGCTAATGAACAACAAAAGGTGTATTCAAGTTAAATTTCTGGAGTACATCTGCTTAAAATATTGTTAAAAATTTTACAGGGTGACAGACTTGGAGAAGATAAAATGGCAACTGAAATGTGGTCAAAACCATACTTTGTCATTGGTTTATCAGGAAACAAGACGCTCTGGTGCCTGTTCTTATAGCAATGTAAATTGGATGCTATTTGTACTTTATGACAGCATTTTGTTTTGAAATCGCTTGAAATTAAAGCGGCAAGTTTCACACAGCCTTTATGTGATAATTGTTAAATTCGCGCATTTTGACATTTTTCATCTTGAAAGTATTATTAAATCTAGTGAAAATACCAATGCGAACCAAGCAGAAATGATTATAATCGTATTGATACTGTTTTATGAATAATCTTTAATTCAAAAATTGGCGAAGATGGATATTTTGGCCTTTCAAGATTGTAAGCATTATTTACATGGTCATTATGTTTTGGTAAAAACTTGTGAATTTTGAAATAATCGAGCATGAAATCAGATGTATTTACATGTTATACTCATTACAAAAGGCCATACATGATATATCAACGATCGGACAATTGTTTTGCTATTTATGAAGAATCAAATACATGTACATGATAAATATGCTAATGTGGTTACTATCATTAATAATTATATATCTGACTTGTTTGAGAAAATACCACACCTATTTCATTTGATTTGATGTCCTTTGTTTCTTTGATTCTGATACATCAAATTTGAATTTCTTATAACTGGCTAAGGTTGGAAAATTTGCAATATTTGCAATATTCTATATGTTAAAGCTTGTTTTTAGCTACAGACAGGGGCTAATTCAGCTGTTGGGCGCAGGGAGTTTGCAATAACCCCCTCGCCCCCTTGAGATTTGGTATGCTTCCTTTTATTTGTGTCTCCTTTGTTTGTCATGGTTTCTTGGAGAGCTCCCTGGCTGAGTGCCCTGCACCCCTCCCTGGAAATAATGTAACCTTCACACAGTGCTTTACTGCATGTAACATCGAGTACAACAAATCTGCAACATTTCTTTTGATTTCATGTATTGTCATCTGATCTTCTTATCATATAAAACAGGTGGGGAAGGGGGCTATAGCTCCCCAATATATTGCTCAGAAAACAAATTTTGAAATAGTGTTAACGTTTTTTTGATGGACTCCCCTAATTTTTCAAATGCTATCCGAACTTGACTACTCCTCAGTCCCTGATTATTAAACTTTATGTTTTGTCAAGCGCCACAAATACACGCGTCCACCCCTAGAATTTTGATTGTTACAAACTAGATCTTTTAGCTATGTTATTGCAGACCGATAAAGTTCTTTTTAATTTTTGTTTGTATTGTTGTTGCATACTTTCTTACATTTTCAATTTCTTTATTACGCTCGCAAATAATGATGAACCAAAAATATAGAGAAATAAAGGACTGCACGATAACTTTTTGCCATCGTGTAACAAATGAATGAGCGGGTAGCCTGTTGTGAGCCTGCAAGTATCAATGTGACAATACAGCTTCTCGAGGGTGGTCATGCAAAATGGGCACTTCTTACATGAACCAAAAGAACGTACATTGTACCAACGCCATTAAAATGCATGTAAATGACTAAGCGGGCGCGAGACCTTACGCTTCAATGAATGCTGATATGATTAAAACGAACAAAAAACATAGAACCAACAGTTTAAAATTTATTTAGATGCCAAACCTCTTTCCACGTATTTCATTGGGACAAGTACGGAGGTTGAACAGTCTTTGAACATTGTTTGAACGTCACATTATTACAAGTGGTACGGTATTATCATAGATATACAACTTTGAAAGACTAGCTGAACATTTGTATAACATTTATTTTGTTTGAACAAAACAAGTTTCTATAGCGTGATATTCCACCCTAGTTATCCTGACTACATTTTTTTCTTTGGCACTGAGGGTAATCACAGTCGATTGTTCTTATTGATCTGCTCCTCAGTTTTGGACAGAAGACAATTTACACGCTCTAAAGTGTCTTGGTACACATTGACTTTTGGGCCTCCTGAACTTCTCTCATGGTTTCTTTGTCAGATCTTTTGCTTTTCTTTGAACTTGGTTCCAGAATATCACTTTCGCTGTCCGAGGATGAAGCATAAGTTATTACATAACTTATTATTGATCTTTCGCTGTGCAGGCATTCCTTTGGCAGCTTAGCGCATTTGCTGTTGTACCACCATTTCTGCCCAAGTTTTGGTTTCGCTGTAGATGTGGATGGCGACTTCAGCGTCTGCCTCACGATATTTTTCATTCGTGTAGTAACTCACTGGTCCGGGAGATTCCAAGTAGATTTGGATAACTCGCTCAGGCAGACCAGCATCTATGACTCTTGTCTTGGTGTATTGTAGAACATCCTTCAAATCTTTTCCTGGAGTGAAGTTGTAGCACTCTAACACGAATTTCTTTTCTTCTTCGCCCATGTTCGCTCTGGTTCTTTTGCCTTTGCCTATTTTAAAGAACGCGCAAACAAAACTTAAGATTAATGTTTTTTCAATGCAAAACTCGTTTCGTAATTTCAGAAAAATGCTTGAAAATGTACATGCATCAGTTGGGTTTTCATTGATAACATTGTCTACAGAAAGAACATCATTGTCTTTCGGTTTCTCTTCCCAAGGGCGGCACAATCTCACTTCCAAAAACTGTGAACTAGGTGGATGGTCTTACATCAACTTACGATTGTTTTCAATGCAAAACTCGTTTCGTAATTTCAGAAAAATTATCCCAGAAATGAACCAAAAACGACCAACAAAAATCCCTTTTTCGCGCCGAAATTAAATCAAAATGAGCATTTATCTGAGACAGCATATGTAAATCAACCTTATTTTTACCTTATTTTGGAAGAGAGGCTTCAATAGAAACGATTTTTCGGGCAAAAAATCCAAAAAAGTGCCCCCAAAAATAGCCCAAACCCATTCGCATCGATGTTATCCTGAGACACTAGCGTGCACAAAACTGAAAACTAGACAAATTTGGAGACTATGGGGGGCCACTTGGGACAGTTTCACCTGTCACAGAGCATACCGCTTCTCCCATATATGGCAACAAAAACAAAATCTCGACAGAAAAGGGAAAACCCTTCATTCGCCATGCAAGAAATCATCATACAAAAGCCGGCTTTTTTGCAAAGAAAATGGCAAGCGTTTTTATTTGTTCCTTTGATTTGTAAATAAAAGCCATCGAGACTGGAAACCTTACAATTTGTCGTCGTTTTTGTTGATTTTACTGTACTTGTATGCACTCGACGATCTAACCTGACTCTTCGTCTCAAGTTTTTAAAGAAAATAGGTAAGCTGTTGTTTTTCCATCATCAATAAATATAAAACATACCATATGTGATATCGGAAAACAAAGTCAATGTTATAGTATTTGAATGTCCTCCCTTCTGTCTGTATTAATACCGTCACAAGCTAGTAGTCCTACGATTACGATTTGTCATCGTTTTCGTACTGTTTACACACTCGACGATCTAACCTCACTCTTTGTCTTTTAACGAAAATAGGTAAGCTCTTGTTTTTTTACAGTGATCAGATAGTCCAGTAGTGAACGTAGTACACGTTGTCATAATTGTTAAATAGCACTATACGATTTTAATTTAGCATTAATATATGTAGGTTGTTGATGAACTATGAATATTCCGAGGGCAAATATTGCAAAACAGATGATGTGTGAAGTCATCTGGAGAGTGAGAAGGAAAACTTCGACTTTGCTTCCGATATGAGCAAAGATATCATTGGCTGTCTAATCCAAGACATATGGGGAAGCCGTAAGAAACGCACAAAAGAGATTCATGAAAGAAAGAGGGAAGGATAAGAAAACAAGGGTCTACATAAATCTAAGTAGGAAAGAGAAAAAGTTCAGCATGCAAGAACAAGTAATGGGATGGAAGGAAATCGAAAACAAGCTAAGGGAAGAAGAAGTTGGAAAGAAAACAAATTGGTAAGTTCAAGCAATTATGGGAGCATAAATTTACCTGTATATACCTCCACTTGCTGAGAGTCATCACTGAAATACATGCATCTAAAAATGTTCATTCCGGAAAAGAAGACATCGAAATGATCCACCATGGGTCGTGAAGTTCAATTTAACCCACAAGTGCATAACATCCTAACTCAGTTACAAGGGACAATAAACAAAGTCGTTTTTGATGTCCTTTGTCACGTCTTCAAACATCTGCAGTGGTTTCTCAGTGAATGATGGAAATACAACAAAATGTAAGTGGAGTATAGTGGAAGTCTTGAAAGATATGGATGGAGAACATCAGGAGGAAAGAATGTTTTCTCAAAAGTGTGAGGTGTTTACAAATTGGAATGGTCTTATATGTTCCATGTGCAAATGTGCCGAAAATGCCTACAATTCATCCCAAAAAAGGAACTTAGGTGAATCCATTGATCCCAAATGCAACCACAGATATATGTCCAGGAAAATGCTGATTGAAAAGATTGAA